GCGCCGTGGCGGCGGGCAGGGGCGCCGAGTGCGCCAGGCCGCCGCAGGCGGACGGGTGGAAGCCGGCGTGGTGGCCGCCGTAGATCTCGCTCACCAGCCGCTTCATCTCCTCCAGCGAGTTGGTGAGCATGAGGATGTAGTTGCGCGCCAGCAGCAGCGTGGCGATCTTGGAGAGCTTGCGCACGGACGGGCCGTGCGCGTAGGGCATGACCTCGCGCAGCCCATCCATGGCGATGTTGAGGTCGTGCATACGCTTGCGCTCGCGGCTGTTGATTTTGAGGCGTAGCTGCTGCAGCTCAGGCTCTGTCATCTGTTTCTTGTCCTTCTTGGTGGACGACGCGGCCGCTGACGACGTGGACGACGAGGTGCTGGACGAGGATGACTTGAAGCCGCCGCCGCCCAGCTTGTCCCCGGGGTGCGCGCCCGCCGCCCCCATGGCGCCGCGCAGCTCGGCGCTCAACTCCGGCGGGCAGTCGCTCGGTGTGGACGAGGACACGGTGCCCCCCGTAAAGCCGCTGCCGCCGCTGCCCTTACTCCGGGCCGGCAGAAAAAGGTCATCGGGCTCTGGCGACGATGGGCGGCTGGACACCAGGCTGGCGTCCGAGTCCATGGCCCCTAGGGTTAGTCGCGCTTTCGCAGGGTCCTCCCTCCCTTAGCCCTCAGAGCTTCCACGCACACCTCCTGCAAAGAAGGGAAAAAACAGGAGAGAGAGAGAGAGCGATGGAGATGAAGCGAGAGAGGCACCAAGTTGGTGAGAGAGGAAAGCTGTTCCCATCTGCACGGCGGCGCGGCCGGGCGCGGGTGGCGGGTCGCTCTGTGTCCACTTCACTCTCTGGCTTTCTTTCCAGTGGCACACAGGTGCGCTTAAGTAATCTCTCTCTTCCCCTCCCCATCACCTCCTCTCCACAGGTTGTCTTATTCCAGGCAGTATTGGATGCCCCTCAGTGAGGGTGGCCTTTTAGAGGTTTTATGCCTTCCGTTAGGAATGGGAAGCCTGGATCTCCAGGGCTGGAAGAGTAGCAGGTGAGGGTTATTTTGTGGGGGGGAGGGTGGAGATCTAAATAGAGAAGTATTTATTTGGTTCCTCAAACACATCCACCTTATCTCCATCGACACCGCGAAGCAAACACACGCACCCAGCGCCCGCGCGGGGCCCTGATTCCACGCGCCGCGTCTGGGGGCCGCGGGGAGCTCGCCAGCGCCCGGACGTGGGCAGAAGGAGCTGTCGTCGCCCCGACTCCTAGCTTTTGGGCAAAGGGGATGCTGCGATGAGTGTGGGGAGGGTGGGAGCAGCGAAGCCGCTCAGGAGAACCGGATGGCAGGGGCGGGATCGGAGTCCCCTCTATCAGAGCTTCCTAGGTCGCAGCTGAGTTGAGGGGCGTCTGTCCCTGCGATACAGGCTGGGGCTGCTGCGGGGCAGAGACACTTACTGTGGATGCAATTAGAGGAGCTGGTTCCCCAAAGCCGCAGCAGAGAACCGGGCTCCGCGCGCTGACGTCGGGTCGGTCTATAATAAGCATCCGCACCTTTCGGCGCTTGGCCGGTTTTTATAGCCCGGTGGCGGCGGCGACGGCGGCGGTGGCCGAGGCCGAGGCGGGGGCGGGGAACAATGTGCGGGTCCTGGAGGGGCCGCCGCGCCAATGAGCTGGGCCCGCCCGGGGGGCTGGGAAGCTGATGTCATCCGGGCTAATTCCGCTCAATGAAACTCGCCCGGCCCGGCACACGCCTCCTCCCCGCGCACAGCCAATGGGCGCCCGCCGCCGGGAGATTCTTGGGGAGGGACTGGAGGAGGTACCCAGGGAGGGAGTGTGAGAGGAGAGGGGCGGAGGGAGGGCAGGCCCGCGGGGCAAGCAGAGAGAGCCGAATGCGGTTGGGACAGAAGGAAAGAGGAAACGCTGTCAAATTCTATGAAAATACGGTGACCACAGAGTCAGGCTGGAGGATGGGGTGCGCTTGGGGCTCTGCAGACAAACTAACCTGATACGCAAGGCAGTCGTATGTTTTGGGATGCGCGCGGATAACCCTGGCGACCCAGGAGCCGGGGCTTAAGTCTCCTCCTTTGCCTTTCCTCCGCCTCTCTCTGGGTTCTCGCCGCCTGTCCCCACATCACGGGTTTCATCAATCCGTGGGCATTTTGAGCCCCAAATGGAACGATCACCAGGCACAAAGCTCCTGCTTGCTTCTCACTCTACGCGCGCGTCTAGGTGGCCGCAGCCGCAGCTCGTCGGGCGGCCGGTAGCGCCCCCAGCTGGGGGCAGAGACTTTCGAGGAAGAAGGCGGGCAAGGAAGCAGGGGACAGACTCCAGAACGGTGTTTTGAAAGAAATCACAACTCTTCATAAAGTTGAGCATGGTGTAGACTCAGGGACGAGTTATTTTCATACAGTAACCACGCTAACACAAGGGCAGAGTCGAGCTCACAGTTAAGCACCCCCTTCCCAGCGCGGGAACCGGATGACGGTATTTTCAGCATCATCTTTGTGGTCGTCAGATACAACCACTCGCGGCCGCGTTCGGTCACATTTAACCGTGGCCTGGCTCCCAAACCTAGAAGCCCTTGACCATGAGGAATTAAGCCCGGTCTGGAGACGTGCATAACTGGGGTAGTTCAGAGGTACTGACGCACCAACCCATTTTACAGATGGGAAAATCGAGAGACTGTCTGCAGCAAGCCTGCAGAAAAAATGGGTATCCTTTTACAGCGCAGCCCCGCCTGGACTGGAGACGCCAACGTTGGCGGTTCTTTACCGTAGAAGCCGCGGCCTGTCTCCCCAGACTCTAACCTTTTCCCTGAGCTGAATTTCTCACATGCATACATTTTGAGTACAGAAGTGTTTGTTTCTACAGATTCTGGATCTAGCCCTTTATCCTGCACACACACAAACACGCCCCCACCCTCTCTCCCTGGTTACCTCCGTGGTTTGAGAACTTTTAATTTGCATGTATGGCTTAAAAAACAAACACACATACATAGTAGGTAACTCGCCTTTAAGTAGTAAAGTTACAAAATAAGCAAATACAAAAAGAAACCCATACTACTGCTTCCAGTTCCTGGATAAGTCTCCCTACCCCACCTATGCTAGAAAGGCTCTCTGCTTTGCCCCCATCTCGTGCCTTCTGGAGCATTATTTTCCAACCCGCGTGTTTTCCAGCTGGCTCTGCAGCCATCCGTTAAATATGTATTTAAAACATGAAGAACTGAAGCGTGGAGATATGTCGTCTAACGGTTAGGGAGGATGACCCATAACCGCCCAATTAGGAGAATCTGTCACATGGAAGAACGCAGGGAGCAGGGGTGGGGAGCAGGAAGAGCTCGGGTATCTGAGGATCATTCCTTTGGGACTCCCTGGCCACCGGCAGTGAGGACATTCGGGGCGTGGACTTGTGCGCACGCCAGTGTATCTAATAAACACCAGCAGGCGCAACGTGTACGCGCCTGGGTTGCAGCCGCTGAGGTTAGTTCGGCGGGGGGCACGTGTCCCGGAGCCCCCATTCCTTCTTTTGTTACTTGCCACCGGCGACTGCCCCGCGTCCCGCGGTCCGCGAGAGTGCGCGGTCTGGGCTTCTTGACGCTCTTGCTCCTGTAGCTGGAATCGGAAGCAGGGGCGAAGGTTGAGGGGCCGGTACAGGCACGGCAGGCGTTGAGAGCCCAGGAAGGCAGAGTCCGGAGGCAGGAGAGCTAGCTTACTCGCCAGGCTCCCGCACTCTCCAGGTCTCAGCCCCGCGCCACTGAGCCGCGGCAGTAGTGGCTGTCCTTGGGCTGTGCAGTGGCGCTTTGCTGTCCTCACTCCCCACGCCCGGACCTCGGAGCTCGGGCTGGCAGCTCTGGTGGCAAGCCCTTTCCCTGGCAGACTCCCTCAACGTCCTCCGGTCGCCAGAGAGTTGCTGGGGCTGGGATGAGGGCGGTCTGTGTCCTGCTGGGCTCCTTAACCCAGGGGCATATTGGCGCTGGACACATCTCGCTGTGTCTCCGAGTCCTCCTCCCCCCTCCAGGAATAATCGGAAACTAGAGCCGGGCCACTGGCGCTTGCCCTCGGGCGTCCTGGAGGCGTCCCGGCACTTGTCCAGGTCTTGCGCCCCGCGCCTGATGTGAACGTCCCGGGCACCACAGTTCCCATCGGAGCGCACAGCTGGGCCGCGGCCCCTTCCCACGAAATGAGTGCTCACTTGCCGAGGCTAATCGGCCCCAGCTCCGGAGTTCCTGGCTGGCCCAGGCATCCTGGAGCTGTCGGCCTCCTCCGTCAAAACGGAAGACATGTTTTCCCCTCTCCTTTGTGTTTCCCTCCCACAAAAGGCCGGGTGCTTGTCGGGGCCGGCCTTTGCTCAGCCGCCTGGCGGCCCGGGAGGAGCTTGTGCCAAACGGGCCTGGGCAGGCTCGTGCGGGGCTCCAGGACGCAGACCTCCCACTGCTTCCCGGGTTCCTCCCGGGGCCTTTCTTTCCCTTCTCGCATTTCCCTTCATCGAGTTCCTGCACACATTCAGGCAGCGTCTCGGCCAGGCTGCCAAGGAGAGCTGCATCCCTGCGCAGGGCGGGCCAGGGCAGGCAGTGGGGGAGGAGGCTCCAGGGCCCGGAAAGGAAAGGAAAAAACATTTCAGCTATAGCTCTGGTCCGGAAACCAGAAGGACTGCGGAATGGCAGCGTTTGGCACCCAAACGTGAGCGATAAGACCCTTCGGAAAGCAGAACTCCGCAGACAAATGGCATCCGTCTTCCTTGCCAGACTCAGCTCCCAGAGCTCTCCAGGGTCATCCCGATGTCGGGGGCGGGGTGGGTGGGGCCAGCACGGAGCACAGGACCTGACAGTGCTTGGTAAATACTTCTGAATGCACACATGTGCAAATGGGCACGTGGACTAGTGTGAAACGTGACTGGTAAAATACATGTAAATGTGGGCCAAGGTATGTGTGTATTTATTTGCTGTGCACAGTAAACCATGAGGTCTGTAATTTGGATTACTGGGTATATGGAGCCTTTAGAATGACAGGGGTAGTGATTTCTATCTAATGACAACTGTGGTTAAAGGTGACCAACGAGGTGCCAGGCCCTTAGCGGGTCTTGACAGACTTAATCCCATTTAATCTCTCACTGACTCTAGGAGGGAGGCATTACTTACTCCCATTTTGTAGATGGGGAAACTGACACTCAGAGAGGTGTGGTCATTTGCCCAAGGTCCAGGGAGTGGAGGGCAGGTCCAGGGAGGCAGGGTGAGGTGAAGGAGGCAGCTGAAGAACGTGGGCATCAGAGACTTAGAGATCTACAGTTGTGGGCTCTCAGCCTCAGGTTCTCATTCCTAAAATGCGTTTCTAGAAGCTACCTG